ATTTTTGATAAAAAATCAAGTGCTTCCTAGAAAAGCACTTGAAGGTATTCCGCGAGGAAGCACCTGCTGGTGCCACTCCAGAAATAAAAATACAAACCATAATCAATTTCACCTTCTTTTGCCAAACAGTGCCAGCATAAAACTTAACAATGCAGACAACAACTTATCCCACTAAGTGGGGTCGCTGTATGAATCCTAAAACTTAACAATGCATAAAGCATCTCACTTCATTCAAACCTGTTAAAACATCACCAAATACCGGCAAAAAGAATAAACAATGCACAACTCTTAACTTTTCTTCAATAATTTCGAAAGATGTTAAAAAAAGCAATAACCAATAAGTAGATTTCTATAACTAGCATAGATAATTGTTGCAATTTTTTGCACCCAAGATTAACAATTAGGTTCATCTGAATTTTTTTACACCAAATTGAAGCCGCATACAATGTGCATAGCCTACTTAATGTCTAAAACCATTTTCTCTAACTCATTTGAGTTTCTCTTTTCTTCTCTAACCACCAAAAGCCATTAATCCTAATGCCCCCTTTCTTTCTGGCAGCCTATCCATTTTGCCAGCAACCAATACAGAAACAAATAAATCAGTAAACATAAACATACCCAGAAAAATATGTACACACAAATGAATCAAACCAAACAGACAAATAAAGTCAATTTCTCACAACCCAGACAAACAAAGCACATAAATCAACTTTCCCAAACAAACTGTAAGAAAAAGAGCCCCAATACCTTGATCGTTCCTGGCAGTGAAGAGAATGGTCCCAGTCTCGTCCCCAATCAAGCACTCAGAGATTCGAGTCTGGCGAAGGTGCTGCGACACCGATCGGCCCTTCTGCAGCACAGGGTTCGAGCTCAGGACCTTGGCGACGAGCGTGTGGCCGCTGGTCTCCGGCTTGAGCAACTCGACCTTGGTGAACACGGGCTTCCTGAGACCAGGCTTGGCATTGCTCTGCTGGGGTGTCTGAGACGGTGCCGTTTTGGTGGACGTCGACATGGCTTTCAAGTCCAAAAACCCTAAACCTAACCCTAAAATCGAAAGTCCAGGGGAAATGGATTTGTATGTGTTTTGATCTCTCTCTGCGACTCTCGCTCCCCTCCCCGCTTTGCGTTTTGGTGTGCTTTTATTTCTGCTATTGACTCTCTTACTTGACCATAAAAGAAAATAAAAAAATAAACTTAAAAAGACTTTGTGACGCTTCGTTTTCTACCATTTTACTCGTGTAAATCATTTTTTAATGTTACGATCTAATGATATTTTTTTTAATTTTTAAGTAAAAATTTTAGATTTGAATCTCGATAAAGATAAATTTAAGTTATATTATTATTAGATCATTAAGAAATTAAGTTTATTATTATTTTTTTAGAGTAAATACTTCTTTTTGTTAAAAAAAAAAAAAAAAAAACTCGTGCCTCGCTAGTAGTTTGTGACTAGTGAGTCTGAGTTCGTGGGTTTGTGACTCTTCCGCTACCGCTTCTCTTCAGGCCTGTTTAGTATTTGGGCCTAATTTGAAGCCCAATATTTCAACCAATTTAGAGTCCAAGAGGTAACCTCTTTTTATTGAACTTTTATTGGAGCCCAAGGAGTCCTTATCATCAAAGGAAGTTGACCTACACCCCCGAGGCCCCAACTCCAAGTCTACATTTATAAATTTAAATTCTGTGTGTTACAAGAAGATGTTTTGGTTTGCAAGTAGTGGTTTGTTCAGATGGTTAGGGTAATTTTCTTCAACTTACTGTGTTTAGTGTATAAATCTTTCTTTGTCTCCTTAGTGTAGTTTTGAGTAGAAAAAATCAGAAAGATGATTTGATTTTTCTATCAACAAGGAGAGGTATTTGAACATATAACTTCTTTTTTTATTTTTTTATTTTTTTGGACAGGAGAACTTCTGTTAATGTAGATTTGGGAAGTGAAGAGAATGGGCTACTGGGCAACACCTAGGTTAACCTAACCTAATATCATGAAAGTTGATTATAAAATTAAATGATAATATAAAGTATAACTAAACTTTTTGTAAATACATATAAGATTCCTTAATTATTCGATATGAGATTTACACTCTCAACATGATCATGTCGAAATTTATAATGTTTATCACTAAGATCAACTCCAACCCTTGGAGCCAAACCCATATTTAGGTCTACCAAAAGACATAATTTAGTTTTATGAACCGTGAATATCACAGATCTCGCATGACCTAAATTTCAGGACGTAAAGTCTATTAGTTGTTGTGGATTGGTTTTAACTCTTTTTTTTTTTTTTGGAACTTTGAGTTATGTTATCTTAATTTAATTTTAGAATATTTTAACCTAAAAAAAAAATTAAATCCAACAAAATTTTCAAAACCGAACAATTCACACCAAGTTCTAACCAACCACCCAACCATTTTTTTTTTACTGTTGGTTTTGAAAAACAAAAAAAAAACATGAATTGCTGGATCAAAATCCTTAAATTGCCAAAAATGAATTTAATCTAGACAGTTGGTCCCCAACGGCCATTGAGACCCCTAAAATGTTAAGGGGTGTGATATCCACACACCCCATTTTACTTCTCACACACGTTTTTAATTTTCGGCCGTCGGATCGGATGAATTGAAGAACATCAAGGTACAAAAATTATCAAAAGGTATGTAAGAAGTAAAATGGGATGTGTGAATAGCACATTCCAAATGTTAATGGTTTGTATTGGCCCCTTATTAATTGGGGCCCAGCTGTTGACCACAATAATTCATTAGTAGCGTTGCTTTTAAAAAAAATTGTGGAGCCCCCAAAAAATTTAGGTTAGCCAAATTTGAATTTCAAACCAATTTTTTTGAATTTATGTCTCCCTCCCTATTGAATTGCAAGTTTAAACCCAAATATTGGGTTTGAGTCTCCCTCATAAAGTCGGTCTAATGAACAAGGCACTGAAATTTCACACACAGCTTCATAAATCAACCAGTAGTATTTATGAACATTTTGAAATTAAACAAAACAGTAATCACGTGCCTATGGGAGAGTGACTTACATTTAATAAGTTCACCAGAGAAATGTAGGAAAACTCTGTCAAAAAAGACTCTCGGCTATATCATCATTTTTACACAATGTATTATAATATCAACTCAAAAATTATGTTAAAAAAAAAAAATTACAAAAAATTCATAAATAATCTCACTTAAAAAAATCTTTTCTACATTTCTCAAGCTCACTATTATCGTCACGTCAATTAGTAAATAATATTATTTTGCGCACTTGCCGTTGTGCGTACGTTTTTTAATCGCACGATATTAGATTTATTAAATGGGGCCGTTACGTCTGGCGTGAGCCGTGGAGGCTACTGTCGTTTGTCGAGTAAAAAGTCAGAAAAGACGGGCAGCAAATGTCATCATCACTAGCATGTGTGGATTGCACTTCCCCAAATAAAGCCCATATAAAGGAAAGCATAAACCCTAGCTGGCAGCCGACCAAACACCGAAGTGGCCACACGATTAGATAAATTCGAAAGGAGGCGCCCCTTCGATGCCCTGAAACCTTATCTCTTGCATCCAAGATCTTAGATCTGACTTTGCAAACTTGAAGAAACCTTTCTCTCTTTCTCAGTTTATATGCAGGTGTTTATGTTTCTTTGAAGGCATCTGCGGGGGACGAGATGGTACATCTTTGGCCAGAATATTTCTCCCCGGGTCATCAATCACTGCAAGTCACTGGTCTGGAGGACGACGCAGAAGTTACAGATTCATGGAAGATTCCCGAGGACATGGTATGTAAGTTTGGGATTTCAATATTGGGAGTTAGTGGCATCGGTAAAGTTCTTTTTTCTTGTCGAGGATGTAGAAAAGAGCTGGGAGTTGTTCTGCAATGAGTAACTATAGCTGTTTTCTACTTATTTATCAAAAAGTTCGATCTGTGAGCAAAAATAAGGGAGTGGAAAGAAGCTACGAGATTATTGATCGGTATGATGAGTAAAAATACTTTTTTAAATATTCATACCTTCAATATCTTGGTAGATTTTGCAAGGAGAATTGGTTAAGGAAGCAAAAAACGTTATTGAAATGATGATTCAAAGAGATTCTCTTTGACAAGAATGTGCTCATTATCTAGAACACATTGATTCTTCACGGAAAAAAAATTGTATTTAATTTGGAAGATTGGTCAAGATACAAATTTGGATGTATATTTGTTTCATTGTAAAGCTAGAAATGTATTAATGATGCGATGCGATTAATTTAATTTATCCTAGATATGTAATAGGTTTAGATGTATATTTGTTTCTTTGTTAACCTATTAACGTATAAATGAATGTGTTCTGGTAAGATTTATTTACTGTGATAAGGCTTAGTTGTTGTTGATGTTTTGGCTCATGGCCGTAAGCAGAAGCAATTTTTTTTCCCTTTATTTTTGGCGCATCGACATTCCATCATCAAATCAAAAGAAATATGAATGTGCATATGAACGTTAATTAACTACTCGACAGAATGGCTGCCCTGCGAAATTTTATTTACGCTGTCTGACTCGTAGAAAGTGTGTAAACACTGAGGTTTCATCGAAGGGGGCAAGTTTCTATTTGATTAGATTGATGTTGTTCACCGGCAGATCTATATGTTGGAGGAGTTGAAACTTTTAACCCTTGAAGGAAATGTTTTTGCAGTATAAGAATACTGATACACCAGACATGCCTTGGCAATTGGCCTTTGGAGATGCTTCTAACCATTTTTGGCAGTAGGATTTCGAGCTGTTCTTCAATTGTTAAGGAACAAGAATATGCTTTTCGAAAAGGGTTTTCGCGTTTAGAATTCTCATACATTTTGCAAGGGCGTTCAGTTCATTCCAACACGATTTACAGCGAAATTCGATAGTCATGCAATCTGAAAGCAGAAAGTACGCTTTGACACATCTTTTGGAAGAGCTTAGGTGTGTTGAGTTACGCATCTCACGCTAACTACTGCACGAAATGAAGCTACAATCGATGCAGTTCATGGTTTCAAGTTGATCATGATGTAAAGGAGTTAAATTACTGCAATGTGGTTTCCCATATTTTCCAATATATCTTCTGCTAAAAGATTTTCATTCCAAGAAAAGTTTCTGAAGTATTTTATTCAATCATTTTCTCTCCATCTTCATAAACAAAGAAACCAAAGATGGAGCATCGACAAAGCATTTGTAACACCAGGGGTAATGATCAATGAGGCAGCTTAGATGCGAGAACACGCCCTCCTTCTGCCTCCTGATCTGATTACTCGGTATAAGGAACAGCAGTCCTCTGCGTACCAACCGGACCTGCTGTCATATCCTCCCAAACAAGATCTGAGAGTGCCATTGTCAATTCTCCCACCTTTCCTGTTACACAAAAGTTACAACAGATCAGCAATCCCTTGTAAGAATATAAATATCGCTGCATCGGAGAAGCAGGGTGGCAACTGATTTTACGACGCAAAAAAGTAGGGAGCCTCAGTATGAAAGCCCTACATTCATTTAAAGTTGATAAAAAGTTTAAGAGCAAGTCGTTCGTTACCATCTCCAATAGGTTGTTCATCCCACGCGATAATTGGCAAAACAGGAAGTGTGCTTCCTACATACATCATTTCAGCTGAGTTTTTGGCTTCTTCCACAGTTAGATTTGCAGTCCTTATAGCTTTAAGGCGCCCCTGCTCAACCAACTTCGGTGCTAGTTCAAGCATCCTTAGCACGGTGCACCCACTAAGGATCTTATCGAAGAAGGGCACTATAAGCTCCTTGTCATGAGTTATAAAAGCGACATTCACATTTGGACCTTCTGCTATGTAACCTTCCTCATCAACCCATATGGAAGCATTTGCTCCCTTCTCTTCGGCTTCCAATTTTGCAAGGACATTTGGAAGGTAGTTCACGTTCTTCATTGTTGCAAACTCAGGTGATTTCATGGGAATGGTGGATGTGATCACTTTAACCCCTTCTTTGCACTGAGAAAAGTCCTCATCAATTACTACTGCATAGAAAGCGGGTGTTGGCAGGTCTGTAGGAGAGAGCAAGAAGTTTCCGGGACCTGCACTCAGCCATATCTTAGAGATCCCTTCTTGATCTGTGATGCTGCAGCCAGTTGCACAAGAATGGTTCGAAGAGTTGATCGAGGGAAAGGAGAGGAGATCTTCGCATTTGAAGATGATCTTAGGAAGCGGTTTAGGTGGACATCAAGTTCATAGATGAATCTGCAGGAATCAGAACTCAAATCAATAACTCAAACTCTATGCCTTATTGGATGTGACAAAAGAACAAAACTCCGAAGCCTATACTATACTTGAATGAAACCTTAAAACAAAAGTGTTGCAAAACATAAGCTATAAAGCTGGAGAACCAAAGAGGAAAATCTAAAGATGCCTACCCGTTTAAGATAACCGCTGTGTCAAACACACCATGGCCTCGATGAACCATGTGATCGTCAATTGGAATCACCATCAAAGCTGGATCAAGAATAATTCCACCATAAGTGCTCGAGAACATGGCTGGGTATGGTTTCTTTTCAACTTGGCTCCACTTGTCATGCAGCTTTTCAAGCAACTGGTTGATAAAACACCATCAAATTAGAAAGTTCAGAGTTTGACAGGCATAGTCTTCTTTTTTCTCTCAAATCAAATAAAAAAACTCATTGGCGCTAAGCGTGAGGGAATGCTAGACGTTTGGTAATTTCCCCTCCGACCATAATATTTATGGAGTAGAATGACATTGACAGGTTTAGATTCGGCCATAAGAAGGAAATTTAAGCAATGAGTATCAATCTCACAAAAGAAAACGGCATAATTGTATCAATTTATACTCAAGTAACAAGCCATTGATCTTAGAATGCAACTATCTAATAATCTCTCAAGCTCTCAACTCAGTTCTTTCGAACTCAACTCGTGCTTGCACACATACACTAACGATAATTTGGAACCAAGTTACAAAACAACTGTCCTGTATAATTGTATGCATAACACATTTAGACTAGTCTTTTGTGTTTCTAACAGCGAACACTGAAGAATTTAAGGCCATAGGAAATTAACAAGGTTCACAATTTACATGGCTGAAATAAACCATGGCAGCCTGTGATATAAAAGAAATGGGGGTTTCGAGTTCTCACCTCGGATGATGATTTGAACACATGAACTTTGAAATCATTGACATCTCCAACCTCCAATGTATCTTCACAACAGCAGCAGCAAGAAGTTCATCAACAATCAAAGCACCAATTATGTTTACAGATCACCATGATCAGATAATTTACAAATGGAAAAACCCCAAAACACAAAATTAATACACAGAACAGAAGTTCTCACCTGATTTCTTTTCGGAAGAAGGGCTGTGGCTTGCCATGGATTAGCAGAAGCAGAATTAATTACCAGAGTTAATTACAATTAAGCAATAGAGTGAGGAAGAAGGGTGATGGAGGATTAGGGGATATGGAACTGGTTTTATACCGCCATTAATCAACAATTAAAGTTAATTTAGAATGGAAGGGAAGGGAATCCATTTTTGTTTCAACCCTTATGCAAGTTAGCAGTTTGTCTTGCAGCGTTGTGGATTGTATCATACAGTCAAGGTTACTACTGACTTTTGTTCTTTGTGTTGTAGCTTTGATGTTGGGAGAGATTCCATTTCCAGGTACCCGTGTGATGATTGCATCAAATTAAGCACTACCCATAAGTAAATAATATTCTAGTAAAATGAGATTAAGACTAAAGAATTTTTCATTGAAGTTAAAAATTGGGAATTGTTATTGACACTCCAAAAATTTCATTCTACACCTCAAACTTTCTATATTTGGAAAGAAAAATACACTTGTGAGAAGTTTAGAATGAGATTTTTGAAGTGCCAATAACACTTCTCTAAAAATTTAAGTGGAGTTTCAAATGAATAATGAGTTTTAATTAATAAGACACCTTTTAGCAAGATCTCGTTCTACTGTAGTAAAAACGAGACGATATGACTTTAAATATATACGAGAGGAAACAAGGAGAAAACAGTAAAATATATAAGACTATATGGTGAATACATGGCCGCCACAATTTTATATTTAGTAAAACGAAAGAAAATTGTTATTAGCATTTTAAAAATCTCATTCTACACTCCTCATAAGTCTATTTTTCTTTCTAATTATATAAAGTTTGAAGTGCCAAATGAGATTTTTAGAGTGCTAATAACAATTCCCAAACGAAAACTTGCTAAAAAGTTGTTTCTTAATTAATGAACATATGTTATTCAATCGCTTATGTGTGGAACAATGTAAAATCTCATATCGGGAACATGATAACATAAAATACAACATGTAATGAGTAATTACATGACTAATAACATCAAGACATTTTATGATAAAGCTTCACACATGAGTGTTGTATACAATATTCGACATTGCAATCATCATCAATACTAGGCACCCCACCTAAAAATCAATAATGCCAAGCCACATAAGTTTTTGTTTTACCACCAAACCACATAAGTCAAAAGCTTTGTTTTACGTTTTAAATCTTATGTTAGAATCACTAATATTTATGCTCGTCCAAAAGGGTGCTGACAAGTTTAAATTTTTTGCATTCATTTTGTGTACGATCTCTCTGTAATTTTTATCATTGATTGATACATGTTTATAAACTTAACCCTCTTTAATTTTGTTATCATAAACTTAATATGTGTTAATCAATAATAAAAAACACACAAAATAAATACAAAAGATTTGATATCGGAGTTCACATGCATACTACTTTCTTGGCAATACTATCACCATGACTTGTTCCCCCAAATAAAGACAAATGAACCCATGAAGGTGCATTGTTTAATAATATGTCGGTACATTTGAGCTAGCTTTATGCACATACCAAAACATAAAAAATAAGACAAGTTTGAAGGCCATCACATTCATTAATCAAATCATAAATTTGCTAAAGATGAGAAATAAGACAAGCCTAAAGACTCTAAACGCCATTTGTACTGCATAATATGAGTTTAGGAACTCTGGGACATTTAATTAAATGGTGAATGATTGTTAATTAAATGGCTAAACAACCTCTAAATTTAACAGTAGCGTAGATGAATGCGAAGGAAAAACCGAAAAGATATAAAGGAAAGGTATTACAAAGGGGAAGGTAGCGTAGCTAGCTAGCATTCCCCTTTGCTTCTTTAGTTGTTTCAATGGTGTGAGACTGATTGGTATGTAGGCCTGGCAATTACTGACACGACCCGATAACCCGACACGACACGACTCAAAATTAACAGGTGTTTGAGTCGACACGATAACGAATCGGGTATTATCGGGTAACCCGATAAGCACCTGTTAAGATAACGGGTTGGGTCGGGTATACACGTGGGTAACACGATACACGATAAGCAGAATATTAATTTAATAATTTTATAACCCTAAAAAATACTATAATAATTATATATAATAATTTAACAATTTTATACCCCTAAAAAGTTTAAAACTAATAATATATATATATATATATATATATATATATTAAATTAACTATAATAATTATATATATATATACTATCCAAATAATTATACCAAACTATAATTTAATATATATATATATATATATAATTAAATTTTTAAATTAAATTTTATACCCCTAAAAACTATAATAATTAATTTATAAGTACAAATATAAATAGATTTAATCTACATAATAATATATATATATTATACACACACCATTGAACTTGATGGGATACACACGAAACTAATTTCAACGATCAAACCGTCAAACTTGTTTGTATATGCTTCGAGATCGCATATGCCAAAAAATCACAAAAAACAAACATTCAGAGATCAAGTACTGAGGCAAAAACATTTTGACGGTGATAAAACAAAAAAATCACGATTTAACGGTTATTTTAACTTCGATTTTGATGATTTTTTACAAGTACACTTTTTGACTCTATACGAATACAATGAATGAATTCGATCGTCAATTTTAAAATATTTACACATGTGGATACCACAAAATCTTATGTTATACTTAATGAAAGTATAAATAAACTCTAAGTGTTAGTGAATCTATCGTTTTGATGGAATACGAATTCTATGAAACTAATTTCAACGATCCAACCATCAATCTTGTTTGTATATGCTTCGAGATCGCATACGCCAAAAAATCACAAAAAACAAACATTCAGAGATCAAGTAATGAGACAAAACTTTTCGACGGTTATAAAACAAAAAATCACGATTTAACGGTTATTTTAACTTCGATTTTGATAATTTTTTACAACTACACTTGTTGACCCTATACGAATACAATGAATGAATTCGATCGTCAATTTAAAATATTTACATAAGTGGATACCACAAAATCTTATGTTATACTTAATGAAAGTATAAATAAACTCTAAGTGTTAGTGAATCTATCGTTTTGATGGGATACGAATTCTATGAAACTAATTTCAACAATCCAACCGTCAATCTTGTTTGTATATGCTTCGAGATCGCATATACCAAAAATCACAAAAAAATAAACATTCAGAGATCAAGTAATGAGACAAAACTTTTCGACGGTTATAAAACAAAAAATCACGATTTAACGGTTATTTTAACTTCGATTTTGATGATTTTTTACAAGTACACTTGTTGACCCTATACGAATACAATGAATACATTCGATCGTCAATTTAAAATATTTACATAAGTGGATACCACAAAATCTTATGTTATACTTAATGAAAGTATAAATAAACTCTAAGTGTTAGTGAATCTATCGTTTTGATGGGATACAAATTCTATGAAACTAATTTCAACGATCCAACCGTCAAACTTGTTTGTATATGCTTCGAGATCGCATACGCAAAAAATCACAAAAAACAAACATTCAGAGATCAAGTAATGAGACAAAACGTTTCGACGGTTATAAAACAAAAAATCACGATTTAACGGTTATTTTAACTTCGATTTTGATGATTTTTTACAACTACACTTGTTGACCCTATACGAATACAATGAATGAAATTCGATCGTCAATTTAAAATATTTACACAAGTGAATACCACAAAATCTTATGTTATACTTAATGAAAGTATAAATAAACTCTAAGTATCTATCGTTGGGATGAGATAGGAATTCTATGAAACTAATTTCAATGATCTAACCGTCAATCTTGTTTGTATATGTTTCGAGATCGCATATGCCAAAAATCACAAAAAAAACAAACATTCAGAGATCAAGTAATGAGACAAAAAATTTTAACGGTTATAAAACAAAAAATCACGATTTAACGGTTATTTTAACTCCGATTTTGATAATTTTTTACAACTAAACTTGTTGACCCTATACGAATACAATGAATGATGAATTCGATCGTCAATTTAAAATATTTACACAAGTGGATACCACAAAATCTTTATTTTATACTTAATGAAAGTATAAATAAACTCTAAGTGTTAGTGAATCTATCGTTTTGATGGGATACAAATTCTATGAAACTAATTTCAACGATCAAACCGTCAAACTTGTTTGTATATGCTTTGAGATCGCATACGCCAAAAATCACAAAAAAACAAACATTCAGAGATCAAGTAATGAGACAAAACTTTGCGACGGTTATAAAACAAAAATCACGATTTAACGGTTATTTTAACTTCGATTTTTGATAATTTTTTTACAACTACACTTGTTGACCCTATACGAATACAATGAATGAATTCGATCGTCAATTTAAAAATATTTACACAAGTGGATACCACAAAATCTTATGTTATACTTAATGAAAGTTATAAATAAACTCTAAGTGTTAGTGAATCTATCGTTTTGATGGGATACGAATTCTATGAAACTAATTTCAACAATCCAACCGTCAATCTTGTTTGTATATGCTTCGAGATCGCATATACCAAAAATCACAAAAAAATAAACATTCAGAGATCAAGTAATGAGTAATGAGACAAAACTTTTCGACGGTTATAAAACAAAAAATCACGATTTAACGGTTTTTTTTAACTCCGATTTTGATGATTTTTTACAACCACACTTGTTGACCCTATACGAATACAATGAATGAATGAATTCGATCGTCAATTTAAAATATTTACACAAGTGGATACCACAAAATCTTATGTTATACTTAATGAAAGTATAAATAAAGTCTAAGTATCTATGGTTTGGATGAGATACAAATTCTATGAAACTAATTTCAATGATCCAACCGTCAATCTTGTTTTGTATAATTTGAATGGTTTTTTAATGTTTGGTTTTTCTATACTTAGTTTATGCGGAATAGAGTTCTGACGTAGAAAACCTTACCGAAAACATCATCAACAGAACTCTTGAAGGCAATAGATCAAGCCAAAGTTCCAATACAATTTCCCCATGATGATCGATGAAAATTGAGGATTTTGTAAAAGAAATAACATTCAAACTTTGAGTTCTATTGGCAAGGTTTAAACTTTTGAGAAAGGCTTCACAACCTTGAAAACAAAAACTCTTTCATTTTGCATATCCTTGCACATTTAATATTTTGTAATAGACTAGTGTATGGATGTTTTTTTATTAGGCTCTTATTTTCGAGTGTAGATGTAGTACTTAAATGACAAATATGTTTTAATGTTTTGAAGTAATATTTATGTGGTAATGTGTGGTATGTGCAAATTTAAGAAAAAAATATATTTTTCTTAACGGGTCATAATGGGTCATAACGGGTCGGGTCACTTTACCCGTTGGGTAAAGTGACCCGACCTGTTAAGGACCCGTTAAGATAACAGGTGTGACACGACACGACCCGTTAAGATAACAGGTGTTACACGAAAACGACACGAACACGACAGACACGACCCGTTTGCCAGGCCTATTGGTATGGTAGTTAAGGCCTTGTTTGGTACAAAGGATTGAATCGGAATGGATAAACAACTATTTTCAAGGTATGTTGAAAGAAGAAATGAAAATTTTGTTGCTAACTTGGAGATACGAGATGGAATACCAAACAAGGCCTAAGAGTTTAGTATTCCATACATGTGGGATACGTTCTTCGTATTACAAATGCCAGACCATCAGCAAACAATGATTTCTAGCTGATTTACATATAATTTTGCTATTTCCTGTTGCTGCTATTTGTGTATAAATATATGTAATACATCTATAATTTTCTGGCATGCCTTTGGTAGAAAGACTTTGTCCTCCTCAAAGCTTCTTCAATGGAAGATGGATCAGCAGCAAATGTAACGCGTATCCAACTGGTCAGCCCTACTGCTGTTCCTGCAATACACACATGTAATCTCCGTTCGTTAATCAGCTAGATGCTTGTAAACCAGAAAAAAGTCATGGAAAATATGGTTCTGATTGTTCATTAATTTCTAACCTGGAAGAAAGATAACGTTTTCCTCTTTGACGAGCTTGAAACAAAACTCGATATCATCATTGATATCTTCCAGTAGCGAAAGGTCTAGTTTCACCTGCATTACATAGAAAATTAATAAGCAAAGATGTATTAGAATGCAAAGTTCAAAGTATATAAACAATTGTGTTTCCGTGAATTTCTCACCATTACGGCCATGGATCCTTCTGGTTTGCTCGGACAGGTAAGACAAGGGATCTCATTTATCCTATCCCAGCAAATGTCTGAGGACTGCTTCAGCAAATAGAGAGTTTTCTTGAAGAAAGCCTCTTCGGTTTGTTGAAGGATGCGAGGAACTGCTGCCTATAACTCACCAGATATGTCATTTTGAAACAGAGACGAAAAATAAGTTAATACCCCGACACAAGTTTAAACATGCAAATCTAATATTGTGTTTTTCAGGTTTTAGTTCCAACTTCCAAATCCTGAGGAACTCTGTGAGTAGGTTTTGACATTTAACAGATTTGTATTCAAAATTGTCTTTAATTATACCAATCTGATATGATAGCTTGTGGAAGATTGAGGCCGCATGTAGAATGATCTAAAGCCAAATAAGGCCACTAATCAAGAAAACTAGCATTAACGTGTTTGAGTAATTCAAAACAAGCATATGAGTAACAAACCTGAATGAAAGTTGCAGGCCCTCCCAAGATGTCAAAATACTTCTTGATGCGCTCAATAACCTGCACAGAATGAAAACAGTATATGGAGTTCCTAATCAATAATCGTCATGATTTTTATACTTGCATCATCCACTTTATATGAAGTTTATATTTCTGAGAATGCTGTGTATGTGTTCGCATGTGTGTGTGAGAGCAAGAGAAAGAGGGAGGAGAACCTTGGGTATTCTAAACATGCCACATGGATCAGTCGTCACAAACCAACCAAGTCGCCATCCAGGAACTATCCATCTCTTTGACAGGGACCCGAGAGTAAGAACCGGAACAGTTGATCCAAAAACTCCCATTGGCACAAATGGTTTATCCCCAAAAGCAAGATGCCCATAAACTTCATCAGCAATTACAGGAATTCGGAGCTTTTTTGCAGTTTCTGCGATCTAAGTGCGATACAACACAATAGGTTACAACGATATCCAGTGCCAATAACCAAAACAGGTCTCTTAGTGTACAATATTTTGTTCTGATGCCATACCAATACCATAGACCACTAACCTTCTCCAGATGTTGGTAACTGTACACATTCCCACAAGGATTCCCGGGGTTTATAATTACCATTGCAACCGTGTTGTGATCTGCAAGAGCTTCAACAGCATCAAGGTCAACCTCCCATGCATTCTCTTGCAGGAGATCGAAATGTCGAATTTCAAGATGTCTAAAAGAACAAAGTTCATAAATAGGGAAGCATGGCTTTGGAAGCAAGATATTGGCACCGGGGCGAGCAAGCATTGCCAACGCGACATCAATGGCTTGTGTGCAACCAGATGTGACAAAAACATCATCAGATGTTAACTTGTATGGAAGATCACGAGACAGATACTCAGCAATTGCTCTGTAATGAAGTGAAATAGCAAAATCAATAATATCTGTGATGAATATGCATCATGAATATGATTAAATTGAAATACCCCCTCAAGGGAATATGCCCGATGTTTGCTTGCCGTACAAGCCTGCAGTCTATTATCCAACACATGTATCAAATCCGTCACCATTTAAACACCACTTTATCAAGGAAGATAGGAGCTTGGCTTTTTGACAGTAAATAAAATTTGGATTGTTTTCGACCGTAATAATCGGAGTATCCCATCATCTATCAAGCTAATGACTTGACCAAATCCTATGAATTCAATCATGTATTAACTAGATAATCCAAAAAGCTTTAAAAGGCTTTAGTAGGACTAAAATTTACCATTAATTTTCACAGAAAGCTTTTGCTCCAGATAGCAGTTCCTTTACCTCATAACTCATAAGGCAAACGTATTGCTCCTCCTCGATTTGTACCACGCCATTAGTAACAAAACACCCTCCACAATCCAATCAGTATGTGTAAAGTAAAAAGAGAAGTGAACAGAACTACGAAAGTAGTGCAACTAGAAGATTAAAAAATGCAAATCGAAACCGAACTCCATAAACTCCAGGAACCCAGAAACCCAGAAACCGAATTTGGCAGCATTTAGAATCCAGGACAAGAATTCGATGATAACAAGAAAGAACAAGACAACCAATTTAAATAATTAAACCAACAAAATCCCAGAAATAAAAACCCAAATTAACAATTTACCTTCTGGTTTGAGGAAGACCAACAGTGGGTGCATAGCCATTGAACTTGTCGGACTGGAGGGCGTCGACTACAGCTTCCTGCGAAACATGCGTCGTGTGGAAGCAAGAGAAGGCAGTCGGGTCGCCCATGCCCAAAGAAATCAGGCGTCTGCCGTCGTTTTCGTCGACATTCTGCAGCAGCAAGCTGAGGATGCCTTTGATGGTGATTGTCGTAGAAGTGGTGTCCACTGGTGCAGCTTGGAGGTCCGAGGTGCGGTTTTCCATGGAGGATTTGATGGGTTGTCTGGGGGAGGGGTCTTTTGTTTGAGCTTGGGGAAGTGGGGTTTCGGTGTTTGAGGTCAGAGAAACGTAGAGAAATGGAGGAGGGGGTCCGACAAGTGGAATGACTCAGAGGAACTGCATGTCCAAAGAAACACCACATGTGAGGTTTTCAATGCTTGTGCATGAATGAATACAACAAAACATGGCAACTGCTGGATGGAGTTTTAGTTCAATACACTACCAACATGTCACTTTCTTTTAACTTCTGGCCTAAATTGCACCATGGGTTATATGTCAATGTTACTCTTGCGGTGAAAAAACTTTGGATAACACTCGTGTGGTTAAGTACATTCATCTTTCATCTAAAATTTGTCCTATTTTACAGGTTAAAAAACCTAGATTTTCGAAATGAATTAAGCTAAATTTATCTAACGTACAAATCTATTAAAAAAACTCAACCATACGAGTAAACAAATTGGGGTTTTCTGTTTTAATTACTTGTAATTAGTGAGTTTTGTTTCCTATTATGATTTATTTTTTATTAGTAATTTGGTTAGGATTAATTTCCTTTTTCGTTTTTCTCAATAATTTTTGTAATATATAAATATATATATGAAAATATATGGGTTAGGACTGAAACATTTTTTTTATGGTTCTCATTTCGTAACTTCTTTCAATGACCCGAACTGTCTATATTTTAACTCATCATTCATAGGTCATTCTTGCAAAAAATAAGACAAATTCAAAACTATTCAGACGTTCATTTGTAGTGAAGAAAATAGAAGAATACGGTTTTGCAAAGGGATACTCAAATGACTATATATATATACAGAGAGCTTAAGGGGAGGGATCCCCATTTTTGAAAAAAAATGGGAATTAGGTGTGGGACCCACTTCACATCTAATTTCAACGATCCGAACCGTCTATTTTGTTAGTCTCGATTCATAGATCATCCTTGTAAAATATTAGCTAAATTGGAAATGTTTAAGATATCTAATTGTGTTCAAGGAAATGAACGAATACTTTGTTATATAAGAAAATATGAAATTTGATATTGATAATTAAATAGGCAAATGGTTTCGGATTGAATTGAATTTTTGCAAGGATGATCTATGAATCGAGACTAACAAAATAGACGGTTCGGATCGTTGAAATTTGATGTGAAGTGGGCCCCACACCTAATCCCCATTTTTTTCAAAAAATGGGGATCCCTCCCCTTAAACTCTTTGTGTATATATATATATATATACATATATATATATATATTGACCTCTAAAACATAAAAAGTACATACTAGAAAATTCTCACATACAGTTAATTTTAGCAAGTAATGTGCATATTAGTCTGAATTGGAAGTACAATTGGGTGAGCAGATTTGAGTTTAGCTATGCTAGCTAGAGCAGTGTGCTTCACACTTATGCACCACAACAAACTCGAATTCTTAGATGAATTAATTTCTATCATTGTAGAAAAAAGTAAATTTGAATGGAAAGGTTGATTTGGACTAAGATACTCAAACTCAATAGGGAACTTTAGGTTTGGACTAAGTTTATTTTAATAAAAAATCATGCTATAGCTTTATTTAATTAAAAAGACTAAAATTTTAATGAAAAACCCTTAAATTTTAATAAAAAGGACAAAAGAACTTAAATTTTAAAGAAAATGACATAATTTTAATATTAAAAAAAAATCAGACGCACGAACCCATGTGTCCTCACACTGTTTATGAAACTTCTACACTGCTTATGAAACTTACGACACTGCTTATGAAACTTACTGCACTGTTTATAAAAATTTGCGACACTGTTTATGAAATTTACTAGACTGTTTATGAAACTTAACGGTACTACATTCTTTTCTGTCCTCTTCTTGAATATTCTTGGCACATTCTCACTTTCCAAACACATTTTATTCTTCTAATTTTCTTCGATACTCATTAAAATACAAAGATTTAAAAGCAATTTTCATTAGTTTTCCTAGAAAATATACACATATATTTATCCTTTTATTGCCAAACATCAGTGTGATGACGTATTTAAATTTCTCCTCTTCACATGTCGATGTCCAATGCATAAAAAATCATAGCCAAAAATTGAAGCACCGAAACGAAAATCAAACAAAAATTTGTCTGCCATTTAAGATACAACATCAATGTTCCTTCATCTGAAACTCCACTTGTAATTACCTAGATAGTTTGAACTTGAAGCATTTAGCATTGTGGCTATGCTTGCGCGAAAGCGCAATAGGTTGGTCAATTTCATTCAATGTTTCATAGGTTGTAGTTGATGTGCATCAAGTCAATTTGAATTAAATTTGGGTTCGGATCCAAGTTTGACAAAACCATGTAAACATGCAACTTGCAGAAGCGAAGTTGTCTGATGGAGAATTGGGTGGTTGGGTGGGTGGGGGCGCGCGCACAGCGCGATATTTTTTTTAATGTTTATTTATTTATTTATTTATCCTTATCATTAAATAAGGTTAGTGTATGATTTTTCATTAAAATGCAAAAATTTGAGATCTTTTTCATTAATTTTCCTAAATTAATAACCATCTTAGACCTAGTTTGGAGTTGCTTTGGAACCATGTTATTCCTATGAAAACGAAATAAATCTTTTTCTCTATGCATCATGCCAAAATCATAATTGTTGGGTCCCTTAAGACAATTTACTGTTTAGATTGTGGCCATTTTCTTGGTTACCAGACAAGCAATAAGTACTGGTTTGGTACTGATGTGCTCTTATAAAAAGTGGGTATTAAAAAAAATTGAGCTAAAAAAGATTTTTGGTAAACACTTAAAAAACAGCTTATTTTCACAGTTTTGAGTGAAAAAAAATTGAAAACATGACGCAACAAAAATGAGGTTATTCTCACAGTACTGCAGAAGTAGTATTTTTTTCAAAACACTGCAATACCAAACCAACCCTTCAGTATAGACAAGTATAAATTGAAATTTTCCTAAACTCGTATAAGGTGACAAAAACTGTCACATACAAAATCTCGTATTGGTTTTGGAATTCTTTTCCTAAACCAGGTTTACAAATTGCAAGTTGATTTGATTGATTGTCCTTCCATCAAATAGGCTGTATACACGTGTGTATACACGTGTAATTCGATCGAAAACGCGACATGTACCAAACTCACAGCACATCCAATTATGTGGCTATTAAATGAGGTTGTTGGTGGTTACTAGTTATCTTCACGAGTCATTTTCTGTCTCTTAAAGAAAATTTTGTTGGAGGATGTATTTGAGATGAGATGGTAAACTCTAGTACCCAAAAAAAAGTATAAAAAAATAGAATAATGTTAGGAAGATTAAGTTTGTTGAGAAAATTATGAAAATTAAAAAGCATAAAAATTGATGATTTATTTATTACTTAAACATTAATAAACATGTTCATTCATATTGATGACACATCATTAGTTTGTAAATTTTGTCTTTAAATTTAATTTTCTAGCATTACCCTAAAAAATAACATTCTCCCAAATGTTACATCCGATTTTTGTTTTGTATGTTTTTTTTTTTTTTTTTTTGGTTTGGCTTGGAGAAATTTTATCCAACAAAGACAAGAGAGCCCCATACGGAGGAGAAACGTATAATTAAGAGGAAATTGTTAGAGTTGCTATATTATACAGAATAGTGCTACAATTATTTTATATTTGTAATATTATTTGTACTATCTCTTCAATAGTAGAGCTTACCAAAACATGTGAATTCATCCTTATTAGAAAAATAATACAAATGATGATACAAATAAATAATAAAAATAACTTTTTTATTTTTATATTATATATGCCAATTTTGTCATCCAATCCAGACCACCTTGTTTTTTGGGTTAATTCCTCCATACCACCTATGGCTCCTTTCTTCTTATCCTATCACAAACAGGTTTTTCTAGGAAATTGGTTTTTAATAACTAAACAAGCGGCTCGACAAAAGTGTCATACACAACCCGTTAGAATCGAAATGACTTGCAATGTTTTCTTATTAAAGTATCACTTAAAGTTATGATTTAGTTTTATTTTTACGAGATGTCTTAGGTTTAAAGTTCAAATGATAAATTTAAAATTATTATTATCTACAAAATTTAAACATGATTTCTCACTTACAAATGAAAAATAATAAATAATTTTATTAACATCTCCTTAAAAGAACAAAATAACTCTTCAACGATAGAAAATTGAAAAGATGTGTGAATAAAAGGGCACCATTTGTTTTTGATAAACGGGTGTGTGATGCATTCACACCTCCCCTCCCTCATTTGTTTTTGAAAAATGCATGGTTCATGATTAGAAAATGGAAGTGCGCCTTCCAATGTTGTCTCTACATCTCAAACCCCAAACTAAACCTGATTCATTTTATAATTCAAAATGCATCATTGAAGTCTCTTAACAAAGGATACTACCATAAAGCAAAAAAAACACATAAATAGAAATAAAACAGAAGAAAAAAGGGGAAAAAATGTTACCAGCAGATCGTGAGCAGAAGAAATGATGGAGATCTGCATGAAGTTCTCTTGCGTGCGTGTGAAACTTGCTTCCTGATGAGTGGTAGTGATATATATATAGAAGTCTCCTCCCAAAAGTTGTGGAATGTTCAAGTCATATTTATAAGATAATATGTAATGGGGTTGCTTTCAATTTCTAATCTTCAAGATAAGCTCAAAGATTCATCGATTTGTTATCTTTTGTGGGGAAGAGTAGAAGACTACTTTACTACGTCTATCCAACTGGGAAGAAGCAATCAGATGGGCTCTTGCTCATGGAAAGCTATCTACATCTGTCAGTTTTGAACAGTCAACTCAAATTAAGAAGAGTAAAGATTCTTAGGTTTAATTTCCTTCGAAGATCATTTTTCCAACAATCAACTAAATCGGAAAGTTGTATGTGTTGGAGAACAATTCAGAAATAAATAAAAAATAATAGAACTCAAAATTATAAAATTTTATTAATCAAAATACTTACTGTGCAGAATGAATTACATAAATAAATATAAGAATATCAATGGTACTAACTTGATTACAACATGTAGAGGATAGCGCAAAAGCTATGTCATTTGAACAGTATTTCCGTCACACTCTTGTGCTTGTGGTTTTACAACGTCTGCTCAATCAGGATACAACTACCTAATTTTACAACCCGCACTGAATTATAGAATTCGAGCGAATTGCTTTGTGTGTTTACTCTCTGAGAATTGTATACAGAAGAAAAGAAGGAAAGAGCCTATATTACTCTTTGATTATGCCATAACCTGCACGTAGGGAGGCGTCAACGACTTTAGGGCAGCGACATCGCGCCTCTCTTTGGTTCACAGGCTAGATATTCTTATTCTCTTTTTGCTAATTTTATTTTTATAAGTCTGATAGTGATTATACATTTGAATTGATATATTTGATCATATAAATAATTGGTATATTTATGCAATATATTTCACAATCTAAAGTCGTACAAGTGTGATAATATAATTGCAAACTTTACAATCTGTTTTACAGTACCTTGAAAGCCCTAAGAATTGTAGTTTTTCCTGTGTTGAAAGTGGAATTTTTAGGGTTCTGTCGTTCATTGAATTTTTTTTATTTGGGTCCTGTCGTTGTTTTTTGACTCTGTGCATTTGTTTTATTCGAGTCCTTGTCATTGAATTTTCTGACTAGGTAAACCTTACCCTTCATTCATTGTGTCCTATCATTGAATTGTCTGAGAAGGCAAACCTTGCCTTTAATTCATTGCTTTTTTGACTCTTTGCATTCTCTTTATTTTATTTTTTTTAGTACCAAAACATTTTAATATTGCATATCTGTCAACTATTGTTTGGGGTGGATAATCTTGGTAAACTACAGTTAATAATTAAATATTACTTGTATACTGCATACTAATACATGTAAACTGCAATTATCTAATATTACTCGTAAACTGCAATTAATTATTAAATATTACTTGTAAATTGCAATTATTTAATATTTATTTGTCAAGTGATTTGACTACAATTGCATCAGTGCGTGATTATTACAATTTGTGTGTGATTATTCAGTACCAAGCACTTGCATCTTTTATGCTTTAATTAAATTAAATATGTGCTTGATTATTACAATTTGACTACAATTGCATACTCATATATGTTAATTGTTTTATCCTTTAATTAAATCTGTGCATGACTATCATTATTAATTGATCTGTGGTTATTATATAGCAGTATAGTTTATCCTATACTTGTTAAAATTTTTTAGTGACAATTTGTTTTAATCTCTACAGTATTATAACAATCTTATATCTCTCTCACCTGTTATTAGTTAGAATTACATAACAAATGGCAAGCCTAGAAGAAGCCAATAGTGTTAAGCCTAAAAAATTTAGTGGGCATAATTTCCGTAGGTGGCAAAAACAAGTGAAATATTGGTTAACTGTCTTAGGACTTGTATCCACACTTGAAGAAACTCAATCAAACAAAGATTCCTCTTCTAAAGAGTCATCTTTCTAAACTAACCCCTGAACTTATAGAATACCATTGTCACAATAGAATCTTAAGTGCCCTTTCTGATCATCTCTATGATGTGTATCATGCTACTACATCCACCGCCAAAGAACTTTGGGAAACTTTAGAAGCAGAATATGAAATTGTAGATGCTGGGATGGATATGTTCACGGTCTCAAACTTTAATGATTATAAGATGGTTAACAATAAGTTTCTGGGGGAACAAATACATGAGTATCAAGAGCTATTAAGAGGTGTTGAAAAGAAAGGAACAAAGTTCAGTGAGGATTTTAAAGTCTCATGCCTTATTGATAAATTGCCTCAATCTTGGAATGACTTTGCTAGAACCTTAAGGCATAAACAAAGAGAATTTACTTTGGTTCAAGTCATAAATTCAATTAGAATTGAAGAGAAACATAGGTCAAGCCAAAAGAAGGAAACCGAAAAACAAACAACTGTGAACTTAGTTGAGAATGACACCAACAAATATGGAAAAACAAAACCAAGTTCACCATAAATAATAAGAGGAATTTCAAACCTAGAAGAACAAATTATAAATTCAAATCACCCAACCAAAATAAGAACTTTCACAAGACTAAGGATCAAGGGAGAGAGAAGGGGGTTTGCTTCGTTTGCGGAAGAACTAATCATAAGGCTAAGGATTGCTTCTACAAGAAGATTGAGGAGAACAAGTATAAGTCAAATCATAATGGTCCAAAAGCCCAAGTAAATATGCTGATGGAGCAACAATCTTCTCAAACACATTTTAAGTATGATTCATTTGTCAATTTTACTTATGAAAATAAGGATTGGTGGGTAGATTTTGAAGCTAATGTACATGTTTGTTTTGATCGTGAATTTTTTAAAACCTATCAGAAATCAGGTGGAGGACGTGTAACTCTAGGAAATGAATCAATGTCACAAGTGCTTGGAATTGGAGATATAGAACTAAGGATGAAATCTGGAAAGATCTTAGTTTTGAAAGACGTGCGACATGTACCTGATATTAGAAGAAATTTAATTAGTGGATCATGTTTAGTAAAGCAAGGCTATAAAGTTGTAATGGAATCAAATAAGGTTGTAATAACCAAGAATAATGTATTTATTGGAAAAGGTTTTATTAGTGAAGAATTATTTAAGTTAAGTGTTTCTTCAGAGTGCAATACTCTTCCAAAAGTTCTTAATGTTGAATCTAGTAATGTTTGGCATGAACGGTTGGGACATGTAAACTTGTTCAAAATTAAGAAAATGATGGATTTGGACCTAGTCCCAAAGTCAAACATGAATCTTAAGCATAAGTGTGAAATTTGTGTACAAGCAAAACAACCCCAAGGAACCTTTTAAGTTCGTGGAAAGGAACACCCAAATTTTAGAGCTTATACATAGTGATGTTTGTGACTCAAATAGATTACCTACTAGAGCTGGTAATAAGTATTTTGTCACATTTATAGATGATTGTTCGAATTATTGTTATATTTATTTGATAAAGACCAAGGATGAAGTATTTGGTAAATTCAAGATTTACAAGACAGAAGTGGAAAATCAATTAGAGAAAATGATAAAGAGACTTAGGTTTGATAGAGGTGGTGAGTACACTCTTACCAATCTTAGTGTTTTTTGTGAAGAGCATGGTATTATACATGAAGTAACAGAACCCTATTCTCCACAAGCAAATGGAGTTGCAGAAGGGAAGAATATGAGTTTATTGGACATGTTGAATGCAATGCTTTTGAGTTCTGGATTACCGGAAAATTTGTGAGGGGAAGCAATTTTGACTGGATGTTTTATATTAAATAGAGTAATCATTAAAGACAACACTACTACTCCATATGAAATTTTGAAAAAGAGAACACCAAATCTCCAAGTCTTGAAAGTGTGGGGGTGTTTGGCTAAAGTTGCAATCCTAGAACCTAAGAGAAAGAAGATAGGACCTAAAACCATGGATACTGTTTTCTTAGGTTATGCTCATAAGAGTAGTGCCAATAGATTTATATTCATCAACTCTGAAATAAATAAAATTTCGAATAACACTATATTGGAGTCTAGGGATGCAACATATTTTGAAGACATATTTCCTTTCAAGACTAGAATGCAAAAGCAAGTGGTAGATAGATCATGCACTAGTACTGACAAGCCTCTACAAGTATTAGCCATCAAGTTACAAATGAAGAAGAACCTTTAGCTGAACTTAGAAGGAGTAAGAGACCTAGAGTGGAGAAGAACTTTGGTGATGATTTTTATACTTTTCTAATTGAAGGTGATCCAACAACATATAAGGAAGTCATGATCTTTGTTGATGCTCCATTTTGGAAAGAAGCTATAAACAGTGAAGTTGAGTCTATTTTACAAAACAACACTTGGGAGTTAACGTATTTACCACCCGGAACTACACCAATTGGTTGTAAGTTGGTATTTAGGAAGAAACTGAAGCCTGATGGAAGTATTGACAAGTACAAAGCTAGGCTAGTAGCCAAGGGATTCACTCAAAAGAAAGGAATTGATTATTTTGACACTTACTCTCCTGTGTCTAGGATTGCCACAATTAGGATCCTCATAGCATTAGCTTTTATACACAATTTAGTAGTACATCAAATGGATGTTAAAACAACATTTTTGAATGGAGACTTAGATGAAGAAATTTACATGGAGCAACCCGAAGGATTTATAGTGAAAGGCCAAGAACATAAAGTGTGTAAGTTGGTTAAATTGCTATATGGACTCAAGCAAGCTCCTAAGCAATGGCATGAGAAGTTTGATAAAGTCATTTTAGAATATGATTTTGAAATTAATGAGCATGAAAAGTGTGTCTACTATAAGGAATGCAATGGACAATGTGTTATTTTATGTCTTTACGTTGATGATATATTATTATTTAGAACAAGTCTAGAAATTGTGAAAGATGTAAAGTCTTATCTATCAAAGAGATTTGATATGTAGGATCTAGGAGAAGCCAATATTATTTTGGGAATGAAAGTAGAAAGAACACAAGCAGGTTTTATTATAAACCAAGCTAGTTCAATTGAGAAAATGCTTAAGAAGTTCAATTTTTTCAATTGCAATCCTATCTCGACACCATATGAACCAAGTGTGTGCTTACTTAAAAATAGTGGTGAACCCGTGTGTCAACTCTAGTATTC